CTCTCTCTCTCTCTCTCTCTCTCTCTCTCTCTCTCTCTCTCTCTCCTTCTCTCCCTCTCTCACACACATCACACACACACACATAACACACAAACGCCCCACGACATTCTCTAACCCGTACACAAACAATCACTGTTGTCAATCATTTGTCCGTCCATTACGAAATGACTCAATCACTCTTCTACCGCACCGTAGCGCCTGCCATCGGTCTGTATAGGCGGCCCTGCGACACAGGGGTGCTGAAATGGCGGCCTACCTCGCCGGCCGCAGGCGCCAGGACGGCTGGCGAGGGAATTCCAGGCATTCGCTACCGGTTCTGCGTTGTCGGGAATCCACCACCAGGGGGAGCCACCTGATCCGCGTCGCGAGCGGGAGCAACGTTGCAAGCTGGCCGCGCTACCTCGCGTCCACGGCGTCGGCGACGTCGCTACCCCGCGCTGTCCGCCGGGCTGGCCCTGGCGGGCGTGGTGCGGGGCGGGGCGGGGCGGCGTACTCACCTCGTGGTAGCGCTTGGTGCTGTACTTGTTGCGCTGCGGCGGGCTGGGGCTCTTGTCCCTGCTCGGAGTGAACCGACCGGGGGCTGCCGCCCGCTCTGAGCTCAGCCGCTCCCGCTCGAGGAACGCCGTGTTCACGTTAGGCGTGAAGTGGCCGCGGCCGCCGGCGTACTCGTGCGGCTGCAAAGAGAGGTTAGCGCCATGCGGGGCGTGGTTAGCGAGGGCCGGGCACGCAGTGCAAACATACAAAATGCAGGAGAAGTAATATTTAAAGTTGGTAACGCGTGCAAAAGAGGGCGCCAACTTTAGTCGTTTGCGAATAAGAGATGAAGGTAAAGAGGTGCACAATGTTTTGAAAATTTAAGTGGGATATCTACATCTTCCATTTTCTAAAAGAATCCGGGAGGGGGTGCATACACGGTTAATTGAAACTCTAGAAGTGCATACTATGTACATGAGTACGCTTCGGATGGGTCATGCACTCAGCCTACGGCAATTAATGCGCAGTGAGCCGAATGAGGATGCTACTGGATTAGAGCTTGTTAGGCGCGTCCCGACTTACGCTATGCGGTAATAAAGTTGTCTACCAAACCCGCACAAGAGTAGCGCTTCCAAGAAGAAATATTGTCCCGAGGGACCGAGAGGAAGAGGAGAAGAGTTGGTGCTTACGAGGTGCTCGTCGCTGTCGTCCCGGTACGGGGAGTCCCTGTAAGTCGGCGAGTCCCTGTACGGGGACCCGGGGGACCCCCCGCCCCGGTACGGGGATCCCACTCTGTGGGTGCTCGTCGTCTTGTACAACCGGGTGCCCCCGTTGACGGGGGCCGGCGTCGGCGACGTCGTTTTGAAGGTGTGGTCCGGGCCGGTGGGCAGCACCTGCACCCGGTCGGGCCGGCCCGTATAGCCGGAGCCCAGGGTGGCCGACGTGGGGTCGGACGGCGAGAAGGTCGACTTCTTGTTCCAGGAGGTCTGCCTCTCGTCGTATCGCCGCTCGTCGTGGCGTCGCTCGTCGTGGCGTCGCTCCTCGTGGCGTCGTTCGTCGTGGCGTCGCTCGGACCACTGGCTGATGCCCTGGGCGGCCACGGGGGTCAGTAAGCGCTAGCGCTCGCACGGCAATGGCATGGGGGTTACGTGAACGCCGATAATATGAATGCCTGACTGTGGATGAGACTGCGCGGGCGGCATAGCACTATCGTGTGGTAGTACTAGCAGGCATGCCGAGCCGAGCGGGGCCCAGGCGGGGGCGCTCTCTTACCTGGAAGTAGGGGCTCTCGGAGCGGGGCTCGGGGGACGACACGAACACCCTGGACGAGGTGGTGTTGTGGTGGCCGTTGGTGCGGGGCGTCACTGGCCTGGACTTCATCGTGACGTTGATGAAGCTGGTCGTGGTGCCCCTCTGGACGTCGTCCTCGTCCTCAATCGAGTCCTGGGAAAGAGCGATCATGATTTTTTTCCCAACCCTAACAATTCAACCAATATTCATTTTCCCCTTTACTCGGCACTCCACGGCAGCCGTGGCGAAGCCACAATTACTCAATCCCAATCAACAGGTAAAACAAAAAATGCAAGTCCTGCCTTTGAGGATCGCGACTCGCTGCCGAAGTGGTGCTCCAGCCACTTGGAGGTCTCCACCTTGCGAGTCTCCTCCTCCTGGTCGAAGTCGAGCGGCCGCTTGGTGAGGGCGTCCTTCCTGTCCTTCTCGGTGGGCGCCGGGCCCAGCTGCCCCGCGGCCCGCTGCTGCAGCAGCTTGCTGCGCCGCATGCGCCTGATCCGCGTCGACAGGCTGTCCCACTCCTGCTGGTCCTCGGCCGCCAGCGCCGCAGGGTCGCCGAACCGCTCGCCCTCCACATTCTCGCACTGGTACCTAAGCAAGGACAACAAAATGTGAATAACATTGTAGAAGTGTGAATTAAAAAGTAAAATAATTGTAATTTTACAACCCGAAATCAGGAAGCGCGATGTTGGAGACACTCATTGAGACCCAATCAGACGTACCTCATCTCCTCGCCGATCTTGACGCCGTCCGCGACGTACTCGACCAGCTCCTGGTCCTTGCTCTTGCGGAAGCGCTGCTTGCTCTCGCGGTACTTTTCGTCCTCCTCGAGCTCGCCGTCATCGGGGTCCTCCTTCTCGTCCACCTGTAGCGACAAAAAGGCGCAACCAGTCAAACCTCTATCACAGCGTAAGCTGGCCTCTCCTGCGGTGCCCCGCCCGTCCCGTCTAGTGAAGCCTACAAGCAATACCGTGAACTCCAATTATATTCACGGAGAAAGCCCAGCCCTGCCCAGCCCAGCATTGCACCGCGAGTGATCCGAGCCGCCTCCCAACCGACCCACCCCAGCCCAGCACGCCGCCCGGGCCGTTGCTGGGCGGGGCGGGGCACATCCGCCCGCATCGCAGATCGCGCGGTCTGCAGCTGACTGACAGCAGGCGGGCTGGAAGCTGCTGCGGGGTAGAAAGTGGCATTTATCTACCCTTTCCCCCCACATATTTATATTTCCAACATATTTTGATTAAAGACTGAAGTTTTTTTTCCTTTTAAGTTTGCGTCCTCAATTTTGATTTAAAATGCAATCAGTTTTTGTCAAGGCTCGAAACAGCTGAGACAGGTAAGGGGGTCGTGATTTGCCAGGGGACGGGTACAATGGGTATCGGTCCCACCGCCGCGGGGTCGGTGTGTACGG